ATTTTTCGTTGTTATTTTAAAATAACCATTAACTTGAAGCGTTCATGAATACATAGTTTAAGAATGAAGAAGTAAAAGTATGGGTTGGTACTAAATAATTGGCTAGTTGTATAATTGTTGGCTTTTTTTTAATATTTTTTGTAGAAGCGTGTAATTTTGATACGGGTCTTGATTTATGCTTTTAGTTGCAATTTATCAAGCTCTCGTGCGACATGCTAGGTATTTTGTCTTCTTGATGTATAAAATGTAGAGACATAGATACGTCTTAGTGCTATAATACTTTAAGTCATAAGTAAATCGTTTTAAATTTATTATTAGGTATTTCAATATATTATAAGTATTCAATAAGTCTTAGTTTAATTTTTCTTATTAGCAACGACATATAGGCCAGACTATAATGTAAAATGCAGCCTCGTAATTGATGTAGGCATTAGAGTCACTCTAAGTTTTTGTTATGAGTCATTATTTTAACAAGAATTAATAAGTCATCTTTTATAGACTCATAAATAAAAGAAAATCTTATTACAGATTCTGTTAGGGTAACCATTTATACGCTTTTTTGATAAGATGTAGGAACGTCTGGATATGGTAATGTTAAAAAGATGCTCAAAAGATGTAGTTTACAAAGTATAGTTTTTTATGGCTATATAGATTATATAGACTTCAGTTGTTACACATATTTTGCTTACTTACACTTACACATATAATAAAATTGTAACGAAGCCGAATCTATACATTAAATATTTTTTGGAAAATCTTATTGAAATAAACATTATTATCGATACAGAAGCCGAATCTATAATTTTTAGAATTTTTGTCTGTCTGTTTGTTACCGCATCACAGAAAAACCACTGGAGGGATTTTGATGAAATTTGGTATGGTGATAGCTGGTTATCCGTGTCAATATATAGGATACTTTTTACCGCGGGAAATTATCTCATTTCTGAGACATTCATTGCTATGCAGACGATAGCACTGTGGATGCGCTGTACACTGGCCGCGCTAATATTTCTCGGGAATACGTCGACGAGAGCCGGAACAAACTTGTGTCTGAAGTCGAATCTCTGTTAACCAAAGTCTCGGATTGGGGTCGACTAAACTTAGTCCAATTCAACCCCAAAAAGACACAAGTTTGCGCGTTAACCGCTAAAAAGTCGCCATTTATCGTAGCTCCTCAATTTGAGGACACTCTTCTATCTCACACAGCCAGTATCGGAATACTTGGCGTCGAAATCTCGAGCAACGTCCAGTTCCGTGGTCAATTGGAAGGTAAGGCCAAACTGGCCTCAAAGAAGCTTGGTGTGCTCAGCAAGGCGAGACAGTACTTCACGTCGCGTCAGCGTCTTATTCTTTATAAGGCGCAAATTCGGCCCCACATGGAGTACTGTTCTCATCTTTGGGCGGGAGCTCCCCAGTACCAGCTACTTCCACTTGACCGCATTCAACGTAGGGCGATTCGAGTTATCGACGATCAAGCTCTCTCCGATCGGCTTGATCCTTTAGCTCTGCGTAGAGATGTTGGATCACTCTGCATCTTCTACCGCATCTATCACGGGGAGTGTTCCGAGGAATTGTTCGGACTGATCCCGGCTGCTGAATTTCACCATCGGACATCGCGCCAAAATAGTAAATTCCATCCACACCATCTCGATGTCCAGCGTTCCACAACAGTGCGATTTTTAAGGCATTTTCTGCCCCGCACAACCACTCTGTGGAACCAGCTATCGCCGGCGGTTTTTCCGAACCGCTACGACCTGGCCATCTTCAAGAAGAGAGCGTATTCCTTTCTTAAAGGCAGGCAACGCGTCTGCAAGCCCTGCGGTGTTGCAGATGTCCATGGGCGGCGGTGATCACTTCTCATCAGGTGAGCCTCCTGCCCGTTTGCCCCCTTAGTCCCATAAAAAAAAAAACAAAATACAAAAAACTGGAATTTGGTTTTTGGTCATCTGAACGCGGGCGGAGCCGAAGTTAATGCTAGTATAGACATAAAATACGAGTACAAAGCGGCACTTAAATATAAAATGTATCTATTTCATGCAGGTATTACATCACATTTGATGTTATGTAGAATTTTACATACTACGATATAAAGTCAATAGCTGTAAAATATTGGTATATCGTTTAGTCGCCTTGAGTGTTTATTGTTATGCGATGCACGGTACGTTTGTATGACATGCTTTGTGCCATTTGTCACCATGTAATGCGATGTCACACCGTTGCGATCCTACACTGTAAAGATTCCTTAAGTTCTAGTAGCCTTTATTCTTGTATACATATTTTTAGAAGCTTACGAATTATTTATAATATTATCATGTATATAAAGGTAAAAGTTATAAATATCTAAATAAAAATGATTATGCGTTTTGTTAAATTAAATAATGATTATTTGTCATGATGGAATTTATTACTTTGTAATGAAAGGCAGTGGTAGTCTTACAGTGATAGTAGTACAGTGCAGTTCGCATCAAAATAAGCTTAGTTAGAGCTCATTTACGATTTTCTAAGTCAAAGTGAGTGCTGCCTTAGCAAAATGTTAAAAGTCTACACTCGTCATACGAAGTCAACAACTTAAGTTTCTTGGCAAGGATGAATTTGTTGTTTTGATAGAGTTCTCTTATTGTTGATAAAAATGAATAATATGAATTTGGTAACCCATGCTTTTCTCACTTAGTAAGTTATATAAACGATACGACAGTTATGTAACGAAACCTAAATATTTTTTCGATAAAAATATCGTCAATTCTGTTATCTGTGTTTATATAACCTTCGTTTAATTCCCTGCCAAGTTGTTAGTACTTGAATGGTTTAAAAGTTAAATATAACTGATTCATTAGGAAGGCAGCCAACCTGCGTATTTGTTACGACGTGAGTCAATATACATATTATGTAGGTATATACTTGAGTCACAGTTGGTTCCATGAATGATAGAAATGTTACCTTTGGTACTTGGTACTTTAACAGTATGAATAAAAATTGTATGTCTGTAAAACTGTTATCATAGTATGAACAATACATAATGGTTTTAATTATCAAAATTCTTAATTCTACTGTTGATCGTGAGGAAATTAGACGAGTATCTAAGCGGTATCAAGTAAAAAACGGTGAATACGTGTTCATTTCTTTTAATCGGTATTTTTTGTATAAACCGTTTAGTGGTGGCAAACACCAAACACGCTTCTATTACATAGTAGGATACTATTTCCTGCTTATACGTGAGGCATTTTGTGGAAATCAAAATTTAATCTATATATATTAAAATTTTAACCAAAATGAATTGAGAACCTAATTTATTCCATCATTATGTTGCAGGAATGTTATTGTTTTATACAAACAAAAAGTAATTGCATTTGAACAATAATTATTTGCGATGGAAAGATAGTTTATTAGGGCGTGCGTGGGCGTCAGTAGCCTTGCCAACACGCCTTGTTTACTGGCATTGGTCTGCGCCTTATTCGGTTCATTCAAAGTTGTGCTCAGCACTACAGCTCATACCTGTTAGTTTGTACCTACACGAAATATTTTAAAAAGTGTATGATCTCTAAAATTAAACTTGTCAAACTATATTAGTCATTATACAATAGTCAGTGGGTAGTCTTGTTTTAAATGATTAGATACATTTCTAAAAGTAACTTAAGGCTTCTTATTTTTAATTTGTATGTATGTATTTAGCACTTTTTAACGTCCCACTGCTGGGCACGGGCTCCTTTCAGTACGAGGGGAATCAGGCCATAGTCCACCACGCTGGCCAAGTGCGGGTTGGCGGACTTCACTTGCTAGGTTCTCTCAGACATGCAGGTTTCCTCACGATGTTTTCCTTCACCGTTAAGACAAGTGGTATAATCATGTTGGAAATGATTCGCATATGAAAATATCAAAGAGCGCGTTACCACTGGGCTACCACTGCCTTATTTTCAACTTTATAAAATTTTATTTTATAACAATAAGTCGAAGTAATGAATATTTATACAACTGCGCAGCCGACTACCATCAACTGAATATTAACATCTCAGGAATGTTTGTTCAATCTTGTAGTTTACATAGAATGTACTAGATAGGTATGTACATATGAAATATTTTGTATCAATTCAAAGTTCTTAATAAAGTTGGACAAATAAATATGTCATAAATTATTATATAACTTTATATTATTTACTTTGATTTTAAAACTATGTAAATTTATCAAATAAAAGCTTGTTAATTAAATCTTGTTGGGCCTCTTCATGGCTAACTATTAGTCTTATTAATATTTATAACATAACATTTTATTTTCTGTTGAAAGTATATAAAACCTTTTTTAATTAGAAATATATATTTAAGTAGTGCGTAACTCATGTATTACCTTATCTGGGACAGACGACGTTATGACACGCTATTACGCTGTCGTATTTGCACATGTGCTTCTTATGAATGAAGAAACAAAATAATGCGTAGCTTCCTACTATAATCAAATTCAAATTGGTAAGTTACACTCTATGCTCTGGTAAACTTAAAATGCTTTCACTTATTGAAGTTATTATTTCCTATTGGATATCCTATATATGCGCATATCTTATACAGCTGTTCCGTGTAACAGGTAAGTATACCTATTATTATTATTAATGATGGAAAAAATATTGTCACTCTTAGTGTCAATATTTTCTTGGTATCAACACAAAAATCAGTCATGCTATTGTCTTCTCACACAAATATTATATTAAGTTACAAATTACGAATATAAAATGCAGTTTTTTGTTATATTTAAACATATTTATATTAGTTTATCAAACAATATTGTTATTTAATAACACGAACAATCCTACAATTGACTAATAGATAATAAATAATAATCATATTATAATGTTTAAACATTGTGTTAATCTTTACATTGAATTAAGGATCCAAAATGTTATACTTCAACAAGTGTTGAATTTTTTAAATATCTAGCGAATGAGATCACCAGCATCCCTGTCTCTATAATTGGGCGCGCGGACATTGTTAATCGCACTCTACAACTGAATTACCTGCGCAAGCGCCGTGGCCAGCAGTGTGCCGGCGAAGACATATCTCCAGATAAAGCACAACATGTTTCACAAGATAGCTGTCAGGTGTCACAGAGTTAGTCCGTAGTCGAGTACGGGTCAGCGCGTCATGGCGGCTGGTCGGGGCGCGCAACAGAGCGACACTGCCGAGGCCCGAGCACCGCTGCACGTCAAGTTACGAGAACAACAAAATTTACTTTCTGCGCGCGGCCGTGTTCACATTTACGTGCACTATCAACGAATACTCAAACTTATTGTTCTATAATCTTGGAAGCTTTGTACAGAAGCTTATGATTAGGTAATTTGGTTATCATCACGATTCCTGCGTTGTTAGTAAATAACTAATATATATTTATGACATAATTTAGAATACTTATCAATTTATTTTATTACTTACCTATCCTTTGCTAGTTGCAGCTTTGTCCACGTGTGCATTTCAATGTAGACTAAAACATCCATACATATAATCCCTGCTTTAGGTACATAAGAGCATGCAACACATATATAGGAGGTACATAGAGCATGAAAGATATACTATTTTATACTCTCTAATCTGTTTGATCAATTAATATGAACATAATTGTTTTAAATTTAGATTGTTTAATAAATTATTATTTTTTAAATCCGTATTCGCATTGTTTTTTGATAAAAATATAATTTTATAACTCGTAATCTAATTATAATATAAAACTAGGATCGTGTTATGTTTTAATTGTAAACTGTATGTGAGTCAGGTATGAACTACGAAATAATTTACATGAATTTTGTAAGAAGAGAGTCGTTAATGGGCTTTAAAATTGGTATTATTGATTTCTTTACTTTATTATAAAAGTCATTAATTAATTTAAATATAGACATTTATTAACTCTACTGTGAACGAGAGATCTACGCAACGTTGCGTCGGCGGGCGAGCACTCGCGCAGGCATTACGACACACGCCCACACGCGCACCTCTCACCTGTACGATAATACTTAACGCACACTAAAATAGTTGCAGGTATATGCAGCCATGTACCGGCTGATCTTCCCCAAAACTTTTTAATTTTATTCTAAGAAACAACTTTGCGAGTCTTATTTATATTCAAAGTTGAGGTATCGTTAAAATGTTATAATGTTAGTGTAAAAAAATGATTTGTTACATTTTACAAATATTTTTAAAAGGTAACCTTCTCTACATCTATGAAAGAGTGAGAGTTTAGTAACTCTTTATAACTTTTAAATAAAACTATCTTTTCGGATTATTTCGTGGATTTATTTTTTGGTTCCCGGCGTTTCGAATGCTTTACAGCAATCATGGTCACGGGAGAGACTCTCCAATAAAATGTCAAATATTCGCGTAAATGTAAGAATTATCTTTATAACTTCTCCTTGTTTATAATCAATCTAGAGGCACTGCATGTTAGGCACTTTGACTCCGATATTGTAAACTAGTTGCATTATATGGAGTCTACTACATACGTATCTTTCGTGCGTACATGATTAATAAGGCAAAAATAATAGGATTGAATAAAAACAGCAACAGAGCGCAGCAGAGCCTTCGATCAACGTAGTATTGTTTATCGAAGACTGCAGCAGATATTTATTTTGGATTTCAATTTATTTTTTCATAGACATCAATTACGGCCGATAGAGAGTGTTATAGTTTTTTTATATTGATTTACTAACTTATCCTTATGGGATACCTTCATGTTTATTGCATAAACACATATTAACATAGAGATATGGTCAATTTTAGTAAAATACTCGGAATTTTAAATTTCTAAGTTCACATGAAATAATTATTTTTTGTACTTAATTCATGTTAAATACTGCTACAACTTTTATACTGGATATATAAGTATATCTAGATATAAATCTGTGTAAATTGAGACTAATATCGAGCCAACACATTATCGTTCCATAAATCAAATACAAAACATCGTAATATATAACAATATATTAGGCCGGTCGCATATTATAAGATTTTTTCTGTCAGAAAATTTCTGACGCAGATACTAATACTAAAAAACAGATATTAATATTATTGCCTTAAAATTTAGGAAATAAAAGAATTCCTAAATAAATTAAGATTCGCCAGCAGCAATAATTAAAAAGAATTCAACGCGTGCGTCTTAGTATTTTCTTTTTCTCATTACTGAATAAAATTAATAAAATATACATTCAAATTTTAACAGATACATATTCAAATTTTGATTGCATAATGGCCTACGATATTGCATTTGTACCGGAAATAAATAATTCTGAAGTAAAAAAAAGTTTTGACTAGTAGAGATTCTAAAAAGAAACTATGAAAACTCAATTTCAACACTAATAAGTGCGAATTTTGCGCCATCTAATAATACAAATATGCCAACTTTGTCGCCCAGTTTTGAGAGAGAACATCGAGTATAGATGGCGCGTATCGTGCACGTTGCCGCCCAAAATCAATACTACGGGTGGCGTGCGCCGTCCCGCCGATTTTCACTTCAGTCTCACAGAAGGCACCCCCATTTACATTCATTTTCCTACCCGGTAACGCGCAACCAGTGCTCCGTAAGCCGATCCTACATTGTCGGATTTACCCTTACGATCTGTAAGTATAATCTTTATATAATATACTATGAAAAACGTAAAATATGTTAGAGATTTTCAATTAAATTAAAGAGAAAGCATACATAGAAAACTTAAAAAGAGGTGAGGATCTGTTGTGTGTTAAGGGTAAAGTTTAAATGGGTATATGGGGCGGGGAATAAGAAATACGAGTACTATGCTAAATGTCGGTCGTCCTACATAGGCTTAGTAAATTTTCTTTGTATAAGCTAATATTATTATTATTAACTATTACATAAAAATGTGATTTTAATTGTTATATCAAATACTTAGATAATTCGATTTCCATTAAAAATGATTGACCTAATTTTCATAAGTTAACATTAATATTTTATTTTATAACAAGAAAAATGGTTTTTATAAGTACCTATTTGTTAAATTTTGGTTCATTACTCTTAAATATTATGACTGAATTATTTTTACGGATTATATAAATAATATGTATTACCAGTCGGTATATGTAATAATTTTGGATGGGTAAAATAATATAATTAGTTTTTTAAGTATACACTTATATAATTTACAGTTTATCTATCTTTTTTACGGTAGAACTATTTTTCGTTAGACCCCAGGCGAAAGCACTTATTCAGTCGACCACTCAGAAAGTGATTAATGTTGCGTTTCACGAACATTTACCGTTCTATGTTTTAAGACGTTAAAATAAAATAATGAACGAAATTCAGAATAATAAGAATGTTGAAGGTATATGCTTGTAATATAAACCTTGAATTGTTTACAAATGAATAATAATCAACAATTTTATATATTATATTATCCTACAACTTTAACACAGCTAATAAAATTATTACGCAAAATTAAGTACGAGTAACTACTTTCATTATCTACCTCTGTGTGATAACGAAAGGATTATCTTGTTAAACTTTTAAATGCCTTTGATATCATAATATGATTTGCGATTAATACATAACACGTATATTATGTATGTATTCATCCCTTTAGCACTGTTGGGCACGGGCCTCCCTATACGAGGGGAATTAGACCATAGGCCACCACGCTGGCCAAGTGCGGGTTGGCGGACTTCACATGTCTTTTGAAAACTTGCTAGGTTCTCTCAGACATGCAGGTTTCCTCATGATGTTTTTGTTCACCGTTAAGACAAGTGGTAATCGTGTTGAATATGATTCGCACATGAAAATAATTTGAACCCGCTTCACTCGGTTTCCCAAGCGAACGCGTTACCTCTGGGCTACCACTACCACACACGTATATATAGACACTAAACCATTATATTAATTTATCGCATATTTATATAACAATTCAAATTGTCTCTATTTTTTCCGAATCTATTTCTTTTTATATTTTTTCCTAAAATATCAAATTGAAAAACGGAAGATTCATTTTAAAAATATAATAATTTAAACGCTATAAATTACTTTACTAATGGAAATCTTGAATGGAAAATTGTCTTTAGTCTGATGATCACTAGTGCCATCATTATAAGGCACTTTCTTTACTTTTTTGGCTTTCTGATTTATCTATAGATACCTATATATAAAAATCGAAGTTCGAGACTAAAGTCTCGCCAAAACTCAAAAATGGCTGGATCAATTTGATTAATTATTTTCTTGTTTTGTTGGGGGTGTGTCAAGGGTGGTTTAAGTATAAAAAATATAGTGAAAACCCAAAAAAAAAACAGCTCTGTTAGATCGAAGAGATAGATCGAAAAGTTCAGAACTGTTTATTTTGTACCTATGTATATATGATATATATTCTCTCATTCCATATTATTCGTTAAAACGTGCCTAGGGACGAACCCGAGCGAGGTGAGGGAAGTCGCTAGATATAAATAAAATCCATTTGTCTTGTAGACAGTTTAATACTATTAGTAGTTTTAAAAATGTATTTATGTAGGTACTTCTCATAAGTTTCCTGCCATGAATAGAATGAGGAAAAGATTTATGTCAAAATAATTATATGGGATATATATTATACATTGTACATTGTAGATAAATTTTGTCATTATGCAATTGCGCACAATTATAATGAGATTTTGTTATTTACGATCTTTTTACAGTGATATTATACCACAAAAATAATTTTCATTGTATGCTATTTAGGACAATTTTATCTTGAGACTTAGAACATCAATTAATAGGGTTGGAAGCAACTCCCTAGACACTGCGTGAGCTTATTTGGTATTTTAATTATTTATAGCTTTAAGTATTTGAGTGAGTACTTCTTTAAACTAACTTGATTTTAAAGATTCTATAAATTTATATATTTAATGAAAAAGCAGTTCGTTGTTTTTTTTTTATTTTAAAACTCAAAAGAAAAACAAAAGCAAATCTACTCCACGTGAATCGTACATTTTCCAGGATAAAAAGTAGTCTACGTGCTATTCCAGACTATAATCTCTCTCTGTGCTAAATTTCATTCAGATCCGTTCTGGCGTGATTGAGTAACAAACATTCATCCAAACATCTAAATTCTAAACTTTCACATTTATCATATTAGTAAGATTGAAAGATAACCAAAAAATCATTTGTAAAACTTTAATGCTGAACATTTATTTTTTTGATTATACTTTTAGGCATAACTCTTAATTAAAATCTGTGTCAAATCCGATGAAATTATAATATTACTAGCAGAACCCGCGGGTTTGCTCGCGCTAAAACTACAAAACTCTAAAAAGTTAGGTTTCATACAAACTTTCATCCCCTATTTTAACGCCTTATGGGATGAATTTCGAAAAATGCTAAAACACGTATTTATTTAATTGTATTAGATAACCTCTCGCGGTAAAAAGTAGCAGTAGTGTCACTCTCCAGCCCTCCGACTATCTCCACACAAAAATCACGCCAATTCGTAACTCTGTTTCGACATGAAAGAAAGACAGACAAACACACTTTCACACGTATACTATTAGTATGGATATGATTATGGATGTAGGTAGCACTTTCCATAAAATTGTTGAAAAGAAATAATCGCAGTTACATTAGAGTCTAACAAGCAACGGCTATAACAAATATCTTAATTAAAACGTAGATATATTTTCTAATTAATTTTTGTTTAGTATATTGGTTGTTTTCCTTTCAAGTTATAAAATTAAATATAAATAAATAAATATATTGGGACATTAACACACAACGCCATATATGTAGTTCCATGGTAAGCTTCGAGGCTTGTGTTATGGATACCAGAAAGTTGTTTCGCTACACATAAATATAATTTTAAATATATACATATTATAAATATATAATATATAAATATATGACTGGAGTCCAAACATTCGTACTCACCACACAAATGAATGTCCCAGCAGGACTTAAACCCGCGACCGCTAGCACGGCAAGTAGGATCACTGCAAACTGAGCCAAACGTGTCGTCAATTGTTTCACATCTTTGCTGAACTCAGGATCGATTCTTCCGTAGCTGAATGCCACGAAATTGGCATTACTCCAGGAGATGACTGGCGCTGTTTGTCGAATTGGAATTTAGTTTAGGACTCTTAAATATTGGTTTTGTAAAAACCTTATTTAAGTTACAACTTTCAGTTTCATTTATGTTCGATTCAGGGCAGTATTTATAAAATGTAGCTAAGAATAATTTTAGATTAAGTACTCAAAATATATGCAAGAAATATATTCAAAGAAATTGAAGCATGATAAGTGTAATATAGACAAATACTAACACCTCCAGGTAAATTTCTAAGAAATTAATTAAAATTCTAAGAAATCTATTGTTAACTGATACGCCGGCGTGTCCGCGGTCGTGGACGGAATAAACGTGTGTTAAATAAAACAATTAGTTTCACTCATAAGTGTACAGCTTAGCTCAACATTTGGCGGATTAGGGACATCTATTATGAAAAGAATGTCGTTAAAATCATGAAAATTCAGAGGTTTATTCTGAATTCTCATTTTATCCACGCAAAATAATATTTCAATTTCATTTTCTTTAAACTATGGTAATTCGGTATCTCGGTCTATGAATACTTAATTGTTATGCCCCTTAGATGTTATCAACGAAAGCGTGTTTATTTCTGATTTTATACGAAAGAGTTGCATTGTAATACATTTTACATTTTCTGATTGCCCTTTTGTTACCGATCCTTAATAAATGGCTTTCGCGTGTTAATAACAATTTATTAAATTGAAAGAAAGAAAATGACTACCTGTTCACAACTTGATTAGAAAATTTATTTTCTTTGTCACGAACAAACTCTTTTGGATTTAAATAGGTGTATGCTGCGAATATTTAAGTAACCTTATTTATCTCATAAGTTTATATTATATATATTTGAGTTAAATCACATTGTCTTTCTGTAACGGCATATACCTATCATTACGATGTTCTTTCAGTTTATGTCCTATCTTTTCAGATTTATAGCACACTTTACGACCACCCCGAGCAGCCAGGCTACCATTAAAAAAAGTACAATAGGTAGTTATCTAATGGTTTTTATGATTAAACTACTATCCATTTACATCCTCTATTAGGACATAGTATTAGTAAAATAGTGCTTTTTAATGTTGACATCAAAAAGTTTAGTGTATAATCAGGGCCGGATTCAACCTTAGCGCCGCCCCTGTGCACAGTAAAAAAAATATCGAAATTTGGCAGAAAATGGGTAAAGTTTCGATTAAGTTTAAATGTTTTTAATTATTAATATTTTGAAAAACGCAAAAAAAAAATTATAAATATACTAGTTAATAATTTCATTTTTCATTTTTTGAAAAATAAAAAAAAGCATTTTCGATAACGCAAAGAGAATTTTTAACCCCCTCCGAATTTTGCCGCCCCTAAAAATTTGCCGCCCTGGGCTGTAATATAATTATGTTAAATGTAAAACGTCTTTTCTCGTCTAATTGTTTTTTTTTTCATTCTTTTTGTTTCTTCTATATACAGATTATTGTTTATAATAACTATAATTTAGTTACATTAAAAGTAATGTGAAAATATTAGAATCGACTGCTTAATGTTTATTAGAACTCAATAAATTTTTATTATGGCTTCCGTTCATAATTGAGCTTTAAAAGTATATACTACGAATAGATCGAGGCCAAGTATCAACTTGACAATAGAAGTCATTGGGCATGCAATAGGCAGCATCTTTGTTCAATATTTAGAAAGTTTTTTTTTATACAAAGTGATTAAGATTAATTACTGATATTGAAAGAAAATTGATACAATGATTATTTGTTACATTTCTATGTATTTTAACGTATAATATATGTTTTATAGTTTTGTTCTCTATGCATATATACGGGGTAAGTATGAACTTGAGAATGGAAGTCAATGGGGTTGGAATAGGTAGGTGTGTCGCGTGGCGACGCGTGGTGTGACGACACGGATCGTTGGCTTGGAGCCAAATTTGTACCAACAATCGAATTAAGAATTGTGGTTTAGAAAGTTTCTAGCTAAAGCAACGTAATATTTTTATGATTAAGATACCGGAATTTACTTTATATTTTTGAATCAAAACTTTTGTTTTATACCCAATAAGCAAACTCAAGTAGTTATTTTTTAGAAGTAATTTAAGTATATCTTCTAACACTGTTTTTTTAAGTTATGGAACAATTATAATATTATTTAGTTGGCAAATATTCGAGTTCTCAACTTTGCTTGGACAAACTATATTTATACCACAGATGATATTATAGTGTATTTTATAATAAGAGCACGGTAATGTAATGCATAATTACCGTGCTAAGAGTAAGCAGCCTATTTAGGCTCTGTTTTTTAAACAGTGTGATACATCAAGTTTTAAGATGAAGCCAGAAAGAAAATTGAATCAACCTTTTGATGGTGGAGATGTTTAATCTTGAATAAATAAGTTGTAGATAGTATATTATTCATAAAATATAAATTTTGGAAATATATTATTTCATTTTATGAAAAAACTAGCATTGCCCGCGGCTCCACCCGCGTTCAGATGACCAAAAATCAAATTCTTAGGTTTTACATATTAGTATACTCTTACATTTACAGTTTTTGTATTTTTCCTCAGAAATGGGACATTTCCCCTCGGTAAAAAGTATCCTATATGTTGACCCGGATAACCAGCTATCATCATACCAAATTTCATCAAAATCCCTCCAGTGGTTTTTCCGTGATGCGGTAACAAACAGACAGACAGACAGACAGACAGACAGACAGAAAGACAGACAGACAGACAAAAATTCTAAAAACTATAGATTCGGCCTCTGTATCGATAATAAAAATATCGGCCTCTATATCAATAACATTTTCCAAAAAATATTTAATGTACAGATTTGGCTTAGTTTCAATTTTATTATATGTAGGCATTATGTAGGTATAGATGTAAAAAAACTATGATTAATCCTTCTTAATTAAAAAAATGTGAATGGAAGACATTAGTACCATTAGTCTAGTAATAATTGGTATAACTCATACCGTTTTAAATTCGTGTAAAATATGATGTAGTCATAAAAAAAACCAGATTAAGAGCGATGTAACATGAAAATCTAAGTACTTGAGGGATCGTGACTGAAAGTTTCATGTCACGCAAACTCTAGTCGAAATATTCACGTTTTGCACTTTAATATTATAGGAATTTTCTTTATATACTAAGTTACAAAGTATTTTGCACTTGTAAAGTATGTTAGGTACATTGTTATTAAAGTTCCGAAATTAGACAAACAATTTTTAATATTCTGTTTTCAAGTCGAAAGAACAGAATTACTCGTACATTGAATTAAATAATAATGATTTATTCATATGTAAAGCTTTACCATTTCAAAATATGTAGTTCGTTTAGGAAATGCATATTTCCTTTTAACAAGTGATAATGACTGATGTAGATATCATAAAGCGGCCATTTTCAATGAACTCAAAATAATATGAACATATCCTTCGAAGAATTTTTTAAATGCTTTATTTTTTTGTCAATTTTGATGTAGTTCTTATGTATGTCGTGCTTTTAATTTTATTATGTATCCGTATTTTGTATATTATATTTACGGATGAACCATAGAGATAATGGGAGTTGCTTATATTAAAACTTACATACATATATGACATTATTTTTTCGCTTGTAGTATCATATTTGTCTTTTAAATTATAGGTATCTGTAGTTCTAAAAGTTGCATTTTTTTTATTTATAAGATAATATTGACTTAGATTTAGCTGCTGAGTGAAAGATGAAAATCTATAATTATTTATTTATACCTATATTTGATTTGAGAAACGATATAGCTTGCAATCTGTTAACAGGTTTAGCTTAGAAAATAAAATAAATCGAATAAATTTAATAAATATTTATTGTTGGCAGAAACTTCAATCCTTTCAACGGCATCGGGAGTCTGTGTTTGTTCCAATACTATCGAGTTGCACTTGCGGGTGAATATCCCGAGGTGAGTTCAGAATTCATTTAATTTCCTTTTTAACTACATATCAGTATCGATGCTCCATGTTTATTCAGGCTAGAGAGAAATACGTATATAGGAAAGTTTATTATACTCGTATAATAAAGGCTTGTTTATTGGAAACGCTAATATGTTGATATTAAAATTTAACATCTGATAATATTATCATGTATTGTAGTTAAATTTCATTTGACATTATCTAACCGATGTATTTTATATTATACCTACTAAATAACAGAAAACACGATTTAGTTGATTTGTTGAAAGTATACTATACTTATTATTATGTATTATTATCAATTTCTTTTGTATTATGACATTTATCTATAAATTTTTTTTTTAATTTTTTGTACTTTTATTTCATGGATATTCAAATGCTATGTACACTTATAATTGACATGCATATAAGATATATTATTATTACATTAATTAAATTGAAAATTTTTCATATATATGTTGTAAGTGTGCTTTTTACAAATAAATAAATAAATAAATAAATAAATATACCATTTAAATTAAAGGTACTTTAATTTCTGCATTAATTAATAACAATTAGTGTTTATACAATTACAAGGAGCGGTCAAAATAGATCGTTCAGGGTGTCCTGGAATCTGTGGCCCGCAGGCCGCGACCACATCAACCCTGTCTTTCTCAAGCTTCCGAAGTTCTTTCACCTCCAATGTCAATTACCTGAAAAGAAGGTAAGTTTTATGTTTGAATTGACTAATCTGGTATTATCTGGGGAGCCGCTTATATTCTCACCGTATATATATTACCGTCGCTTCGTAAAGTCGAGGAACACTTATAAATCCTAGTAAGGCGTGTTATAATTTGCACCCTTAAGCTATGGCTCCTCAGAAACATTTGCACGTTTTTTTTTACTTTAATCCCGACGAAATTTTGAGTGTAAATATATCTTTATAAATGTTTTAACTTTTAGCTCTCTATCGTGTTGGGAGTGTGTATATCATTTTATTGTCAGTTTTTGTAGTTTAATTGATGTCAAGGTTTTTTTAAATGTTTCTACTAATTTCTGTAACAAAAAAATTAAAATCTTTATTTCTCGAATTTTGTTCTAATGTTCTAGAATATTTTTAGGATTAACAAGCTTTGTGCTTTTACTATACCTAATATTTGTGTTAATTATGGTGATTTTATAATGTTACGCCTATTGCCGATTATCAAGTGTATTGCACAGCAGCAGCCCGCTTGATAAAGCTACCTATTCCGCACTTAACCCTTACTTATCCTCATACTTACAACTAATAAAAAATTAAACAATAAGTACATATCTTATGAAAATGTTATTTTAAAGAAAAAGTTACTTTTTATTATATTATTAGTTGTAAGGCCTAAGACCCATCACATCCTTTGCCGCATACCGTGTAACACTCATCAGCTCTCAGATTAAAAAAAACCCCTAGTCATGAATGTTGTGATTTAGCGAAAACCAAATAGCCTGTCATCAGTGCATGGTGCTTATTTCATTGTGGTCATTCCATGTGCTTAAAATATTAGGTAAGTTGTGTGATATGGTTAGGAAATATAGTTTTTGCATATTATATAATACACTGAATATCAATTAATTAATAATTATTATAAAATTTAAGCTACTAAAAATATGAGTTAGTTTTGTTTTAGTAATAAAACATATTAAACTACTCAAATAGATGCCGAAAAATGCAACGATATTTAAATGTCAATTTGCTGAAAGTTCAGCATCTAGTATTTTTTAAATTTATTAACTATTATAAATTATTTAAATCACAATTAATTTATAGTTAAATTAATTTCGATTTTAAATTAACAAAAAAGTAAAACTTACTAGTTATACAAAAAAAAGTAGATAAAAGGTAACTGAGGGCGTCAGTGGGTGGCTACATTGTGTGTGTCGGTTTCCCTCGTGTCCCTACCGGCGGTGGCGCGTAGCTCAGCGGAGGCGTTGCGCAGATTCAGCTCGGGGGACCTGCAATCCGAGTGCGATGAGGGCGAGGTGGACCCTTACACCGGCCGCCCGGCAACCACCAGCCAGCCCAAGCCGCAGAATCAAAGGCCGGCCTCCCAGGGTGAGTATCTTTAGCTAACAGATAAAAAAATATGAACATAAATTTAAGTCGTTATCAATATTAAAAAGCTCACAACTAATCATCATCACAACCGAGTATATTTGTTTATTTTGTAAAATTTTCTTTGTTGTATTCATTTAAAATATAAATTTATCTTCTATGATGAATGATTGTTATGCTTATTATTAAGAGCTGTTCTTATTTATCGAATTATATTGACATAAACTATTTTTATCTCGTTTTTTTTAGTGACTGGTGGCAGTATCGGCAGTGCCACCTCAGTGCCACCGGCGCCAAGTTCCGGTAGCGCTTCAGCTGGAGGGGACTTGTCTCTCAACCTTCGAGGCGGCTCGAGAGGCACATCTGCACCGTCATCACCAGCCAAGTCGAGAGAGTCGTTGCTGCAACGTGTACAATCACTTACAGGAGCGGCGCGGGACCAAGGAGCCAATTTATTGGGCAAGCTATATTAAATTATAAAATAGATGAATATTATCTGGTGTTCAACGAAATGTGCGATTTTAAATTTCTGACTTTGTAAACCTATATCTTATTTGCAACAGTAACTTTTTGAATTATTTATTTTAACGTTATACTAGTTTGCTTCTCATAAAAGCTCAGGCGCTACAGGTTATTTTTATTTATAAGTATTATTAATATTTTATATAAATTTATCAGGGAGCGTGACATCAGTTGCATCAGTTGGTCGGGGGTACAATCGAGACCGATGTGTAACGTTGCTAGTGGTGGATGATCAAAACACCGACTGGTCCAAATACTTTCGCGGCCGACGCTTACCTGGAGAATGGGATATTCGCGTCGAGCAAGCAGAATTTCGGGTAAGCAAATGTAAAGTAAGACTCTAGTATCCAGTACTTTAACTTTTTTAATCTTTGCAAATATAATTAAACTATCACAATGAAATATAAAACCTACTAAATAGAAACGCATCAAATATATTATTTTTAATAATAAAGAAATAAAAATGCGATTATACTTCCATTTAGGAAAAGTGATTTGACTTTATTCACTTGTTACGTAAAATATCGTTATATAAATTAAACGGTAAAAACACGACGCGAACAATCTATGCATCCATTAGCGTGATTGCTCGCGTGATTTTAACTTAATATCTGTATTTAATAAACCAGCTTAGTTACCATGATTTAAAGTTCAATGTTCACGTAAATCTATTTGAATCGAGGAAATCCATTATTCAAATTACTAAATAGTTACTATTACGAGTATATAAACTTTAATTATGTTTTGGAGCTGGAACGTAGTCATCAATAAGTTCACAAATGAGATTAACCACTACTACTTCTTTATTGTAATTGTATGGGTGTTTAAAACTATATATTTTTATTGAAGCCTCTTGGACTAAATTGAATTTTATTATTATACTAGCGACTCACCCTCGCTTCTCAGCCCTTTTTGAGCGGAACCCTAATTCTTTTTCTAAAATAAAAGTAGGCCATGTTACTCCCCATAACATCAGCTATCTTCCAGTGAAAGTCCCGTCAAAATCAGTCCAGCCGTTTCAGAGATTATCCAGAACAAACAGAGAGACAGTTTTATAAAATGTGTTTTTCTTATAAGTACCGTATATAATTTCATATGCATTTAGTAAAACGCTGTTATTTTGACATTACAAACAGACACTTCAATTTTATTTAACTGTATAGATGTATAGATGAACTATATACTATGAACTAGTTTTTGTCAGTTACTTTATTCTAGGTAGTGGTATGTACGTACATACGTCGATAAATGACCTAAAGCCTTAAGTTTTTTTTTTTTGCTTTTTTTGTTTTTACTTGAATCCTTAGTACTCCCCCATTCCGTTGTTTTATCTCGACAGGTAGCTGAATGACAGATTCGAGTTTATAATGAAAAATAAACATTTATGGAGGTTCACTTGATTTTGTCGCTTTAAGTCTCTTTTATTTTTCTTAAATGGTAGAATTTAAATAATTTATTTATAAGCTAAATGTAACTTATGTAATAAATATTTATAAATAAATAAAGCGATTTATTTAACTAAATTTTATTACATATTATTTGAAAATGTTATTTCATTTTTCTAAATAACATAAGCCAATACAATTTTCTACGGCAGAGATAGCTAGCATTTCCGCCTAATTCAATGTAGGAGGAAATTACTTGACGGAGATTTTCTTGCAGGAGTTGACTGTGACGGCGAACTCCGACGGCACTAATGTGTCGATGGCGGTCTACCGCAGCGGAACTAAAGTAACACGCTGCTTCAAGTGAGTATATAATTTAATTGCGTTCTTAAGAAATTCACAAAAATTAATTCACGTTATATAAGTTTATACTCTAAATGGAAGATTTTAATTAATTAATCCCTACGAATAAATAACTTATTATTTATTAACGAATATTTGACATTTTAATAAAACTATCTTATTATTTATTCGTAGATTAATCCGAAAAGATAGTTTTATTTAAAACTAGCATTGCCCGCGGCTCCGCCCGCGTTCAGATGACCGAAAACCAAATAAAATGGCACTATTGTTATTTTTTTCAAGATAAGCTATTTTTAATAGTTTTTGCCTTATTTAGAAAATTACCTTGCTAAAATATAGTATCATCGTGGTTTTATTCTAACCAGTTTTTGTATTTTTTCTCAGAAACGAGATATTTTCTCGCGGTAAAAAGTACTCTATATGTTGACCCGGATAATAAGCTATGACTATACGAAATTTCATCAAAATCCCTCCAGTAGTTTTTCTGTGATGCGGTAACAGACAGACAGACAAAAATTCTAAAAAGTATAGATTCGGCCTCTGTATCGATAATAATGTCTGTTTCAATAAGATTTTCCAAAAAATATTTAATGTACAGATTCGACTTAAATATTCGCGTAAATCGAAGAAAGTATTAATTATTTTTTTTTTATTATTTTTTTTAACTATTTGGTATTAAAAACTTTGTTGAAAATCAAGTTCTAGATTAGTAGTTTCAGAATTATAAATAAACATTTAGTTGATTAATCACTCTATTTTCTGTGTTTACATCTATCTTTTTATAATAAGCGTTTACTTAATAAAAAAGTCCATTTTTTATTAAGTAAACGCTTGTCAGTTTAAAAGTAATGTTAAGTAACACGTATGTCCGTCCATTTAGGCCAGAATTCGTCTTGATAAGACAGAACGTTCGTGATGCTGGCGCGGATCACCGAGCATTACTTCTTGGTCTTAAGTTTGGGGGTGTGCCCTCCATCAACAGCCTTAACTCGATCTACCACTTCCAGGTAATACTTGAGTCGTTGAATAATATTACAGAATTAGACTCTGAGCGTGATCTCTTTACGAACTATGAACGAATAATCTTACTCTTTAGGACCTAAAGCAAAATTCGCAGATTAGTTTACGTTCATATTTTGTATTCTTAATATTATACGTATTATATAATTTTATAAATATTTTTTTTATTTTTTTTGCATTCATTATTTACCTAGAATAAGTTAAAGTTGCTAACCTACTATAGAACTCGTGACCCTTTTTTAAGATACTCAACACTCTTAAAACTAAGATGGTCGTAACGAATACATTTTATGTGAAATAAATCTTAGTTTAAAAAAAAAACAAAGAATGTTACTTTTTACATTCTTACCAAAGTTATATAGCAAGTAGTTACGTGGGAGTGCATATGAATTTGCATACGTAAAAGCGTAGCCTCACAATAAATCACTCAGTTCTATGGTTGCAAATGATATTGTTAAAGGTAGAAAAAGTAGATTAATTTACATAGTTATAAATTATACTCGTATACTGCCCTGGAGAAAGCAAAAATGTCAGAACGACGACCAATGTTTTTATGTAGATGACGTTTTATTACTTTGATAAATGAACTAGATTGCTTTTAACAGACGTTTTATTTATGATTTCAGTTGTTTTTTGACTTTTTATGTATATTTTACAGTTTAAAATTGAATAAATTCATAATTAGAATTTTAAGTATTACGATAAAAATATTAAGTTGTATTTACATTAAGCTTTACATTTATTAGGATCGACCATGGGTCTTCGGTCACTTGTTGCAACTACAGCGGCGCCTCGGCAGAGAAAATTTTCCTCTGATCGAACAAACCTACTACCACAATCACACCGACATGGTAAGCTTTTGACAATAAATAACTATTAACATTTTTCATATGGGAATAAGATTCGAAAATTAACAATTTTCATTTGGTTTCTTAAGTCTTTATTGTAATTTACTTACGTAACTAACTTTGTTAATTTACAATTTTTAACTTAAACATAAATATAACTTAAATAAATAATACAAAATAACGTCAAATTTACTTTTGTCCAATGAGACAAACAACAATTTGGAAACGCCAAAATATTTTTAAAGAATAACAATTGGATTTTCGCAGTAAATTCGTCACAATCAAAGTCTTACATACAGTCATATTCTCTCACGCATAACTCATAGCCACACATTTGCTGCCTAATTTTTGCTTAAGTTACTCTTGTTAAAAATCCGTGACTAGCCAAAACATTAAATCTTCAGAGAATCTGCAGTAGATTCATATACAAAACCAATGTCGGCCTAATAATCGTATTTGAACATACAAAACTTGTTAGAATGAATGAAATGTTGGCTTAGCAACTCATCGCACTTTTACATATTATTAGTAACAATTAAAAGGTAACCGGAATTTCAATGGATTCGAATATAAAATTGTTTGTTACGATTAGTTTACGTTGCATCGAGTCGTTTGATGAATCAAGTCATGGTGCTATTGAAGTGCTGTTTCTGCAGACATCTTGTGAGGGCGGGGGCCCTGAAACATAAGCCAACATATTATAACGATTGATAAATAACAAAGCAGCGGGCTTAACATCAAAGTGCGTCTAAATTTAGCATCGCCATGAATATTAATTCTGAACTATAAGATTGCGAATGCGGCTTGCCCTAACGAAGAGAATATGAACCTTTTATTTCCTTTTGCTTAGGAAACATGATCCGTATTGCAGATAAGTAACAACATGCACTAAGCAATCAATTTTGACAAATTAATTATGAAGGAGATTGTTAAAATAATTTAAAAGTTTAATTTCGTGTAAGTTCACAACTAGGTACTCCTCATGACCTACGCTTTACACAAGATATTTCCTCATTTACTATAGTTGATCAAGCGGTGTCTTTGGCTTTTCTAAACAGATTGCAATCAAACTAAAATACATGTTTAATTGTTATGTAGATTACAGAATATTATAAATGTGCAAGTTAAGCCGTGGATGCCATTTACCCGATATGCAATTTTATACAAATGCACTCACCTACACTATACATACTATGAATTACTAAACAAGGGTGTTTTTGTTTCTCGGTGGATTTTTGGGGCATTCTATTAGAATTTAATTCTGTTACCATTTTGTCATCATAAAATAAAAGTTATTAGTAACCAGTAGGTAATAAAATATGCAATTACCTGGTCCAACGACAACGTCGTTCGCGGTCGTGCAGGCAGATGCCGTGTCGTTCGAAACACTCGTCGTAGCCTGTTACACACGTATTTGGAGATTTTGTACTGCGTCTGTTCACGTGTACCTGGAAATTTTTACGAATATATGATGAACTGTCTTTTTCTTATCTATTGGATAGTTTGATATCTATAAATATTTTTTTATAAATACCTAATACCTATACCTATTTAAAATGAACAACATTTGGTCGAAGCCTAGACATTGAATTAGACGGTCAGTATTACAATATGAAACTGACTCAAATGCAAAATGAATCATTTTCATGCAAAAACTTACTCATAACGATGCAATATTTCGAATGCTACCTCATGTAAAAGGCATGTGATAGCAAATATACGTAAAAGCCATATATACACATAGCTTAATATTGTATACATACAAGTAAATTCTTCATTTAGTGCAATAATCTTCAGAAAAATCAAATAATATAAGCACGTAAAATGAACAAGGCAGATGACTGAACCAGGCCTTTTATTTAAAGTTTTATAAACGAAAGGAAAATGCGTGACTCGTGTACCTAATAAACTCGTAAAAGTAAAGACTAAGTTAAACACATTTGCGGCATTAACTCCCGAGTGAATCTAATAAGCTGCCTTTGACTCAACAATAATCGTCCGTTACATGCCCTTTATGCGTCTTGCAATACTCTATATTGACATTCACAAACAGAAAAATATTGCGACATTTTTAGCCGTTTTGTTTTACAAATGAACCGTCTGCTTATCTGCATATATGAATAATTTAAAATTTGGTACTGATGAGCAGATTCAAGTATAAGAATAATTAGTCCAGCTTGTTATATTTTCCTTTTTCCCGAATTTTTTGTATTTTCAACATTGAATCATTTTATCAACTTCTACAAAGTTATCTACCTATACTAATATTATAAAGAGGTAAAGTTTGTGAGTTTGTGACGTCGTAGGGGGTAATCTCTGGATCTACTAAGCCGATTTAGATGAAATTTGATAAGAATAGAGTTTGAGAGCCTGGGAAGGATATATGATACTTTTTATCCCGGAAATCATCCCTTAAGGGGGTGAAAATGGGGATGAAAGTTTGTATTAGTAAGCAAGCCATGGATGAACCCGAGCGAAGCGAGGGTGAGTCGCTAGTTTTTATATAAAGTACTAGTTTTAGAAAGCTGGTATCATCCATCAAAAGAAAATATCCAATTATTTTTGTAATTAAAGTAACAACTAGAAACATTATTAGCGGTATAACTACTTAAACATATTAAGATTCAAATTCGAATTAACTAACGTCTGGTTATCATATCGTAATTGTAGGTAGAGCAGGTTAACAAGACGCCCCAGGGCAGCTCACATCGGAAGACTGGTACTTAACTGGTATTTAACCAAAACCTCCAGAAGCAATGTTTACTACATTTTTTTTAATGATTAACAATATCATATTTACAAAAGACTACGAGTTCTTCTTTGTTATCATTTATTGGTTAAACGTAACAGTGTTTTACCCCACCTTGCATGTGCAGCCTTGTTTGTAAAGCAGCCTGAATCCTTTTCGTTGTCGTGGTGTGACTTCACGCCATTTATTTACGTATCCGCAAAGATGTATATGGGCTTGCAGGTGAACCACACGACCTTAAATAAAATATATTAAAAATTATATACTATACCTGTGTAAATAAAAAGTCATTTATGTACCTTTATTGGATCTATCCGTTATATTGACCCTTGTTTATAACTAAATCAATGTTGTAATAATATATTACTGATATTCTGTTATAAAATGTAAGTTCTCGTTATAAGATGTAATAATAACGCGGTGTATAAAATATTACCTGTTATTACATATGTCTCTCTAGGCTGAAGCTTGACGCCGCATAAGGAATCTTCTGAGGGCGTCAATATCCGCCCTGCTTTTAACGCTAATGCTGCCTTAGGGGTTGCCTATAAAACATTACATTGTTTTATTATTATTATTTACGAAATAATGAAAAAACTACGAAGATTATTTCGTATATAGTTTTGGAATATAATACTCACTTTAAATACATTTCGGATTTTAACCTTGTAAGCATCATGGAAATCACTGCCTCTAAATAATTTTTGTACTCGCCCTACAATAACTGAAATAAAAAATTAAAAAATAAGAAAAAAAATCTGAAACGATAAGCACCTGTGTCCTACTAGCTTTGTAAATATAAATTAAATGTACTGTTAATTTAGATCAAATTAAGATAGAAGGTCTGTGCCAGCACTATTCCATCTTTAGGTCGCTATCTTATCTCAATCTAAATCTTAATTTGATATTCGGTAGCTATTTACAAAGTATTGAAGTTTCATATATTTCTTTTCACTGAGCAAATGTATATATTATTAAATGGTTATAGCCTCACAACTTACTCTAGTTTATTTGTGAGAGATGCAAAGAGAATATACTCGTAGTAACAATTCCCTTGAGCTTTGTGCTTGAGACACTATAGAGACATTGCGTGTTAAGTTGCAGTACACAATACCGTTGTTTTTGTTTGACAGTATTGAAACTGCGACACAAGCAAGACTTAATAGAAGTCAGACTAATCATTTACGATAATTGTAATTTAAATGATAAATATCGATAATGATAAATACTTATAAACGAGTAATAAAATTATAATTTTAAATAAAGATATGCCATACCAAAATCACTGTTGCAAAAATGTGTTTGTGGGTGGTCAAGTGAGCAAGTGCAGGCGTCGGTGGCGTGCCAGCTCGCCGCCACCAATGCTAACGTCAGCAGTCTAGTCAGCATACTCTTTTTAGGTTTCTGTTAACAATTTATATACATGTATTATTAGTGGTATTCGATTAAAATACGTGATGGAAATAAAATGAAATAGAAAGATAGTAGATATTGAGATGACGACACGTTTGGCTCAGCTTGTAATGACCCTACTTGCTGTGCCAGCGGTCGCGAGTTCGAGTCCCGCTGGGGGCATTGTGTGTTGAGTACCAATTTTTGTACTTCAGTAGTGTGTATTTTTTGATTTATAATATATAATATTTTTAATATGTATGTTATATATGTGTAGTATATCAACTATCTGGTATCCATAACACAAGCCTTGTAGCTTATCATGAAACTAGATGGTGCTGAGTGTTAATGTCCCAACATATTTACATTTATTTATTATTATTTATTATATTCTTGCTACAATTATGTTCAGTCTAACACCCAGTATAAATTAGTTTTTTATTAGTAGGGTTTTTTGCCTCTAGGAAAATAAATCAATTTTTAAGTATCTTTCGTTCAGTACTTGATTATAAATTAGATGGAAAAAAAGAAGACTTTTTACACTGACGAAGAGGACATCAAAGATTTGTATATTATAAAAATTGTGCATGTAACCTTTACGCACGGTAGAAGTAAAACTTCTTTAGCGCTGTGGCAGATACCAGATCAAAATATAAATATAATATTTTCTTGAAATATTATATTTATATTTTGAAAATATTTATTTTTATTAGTAATAAATAATAATAATTATAAAAATATAATTAGAATATATATTTTTAATTATTAATAACTAGCAGAACCCACGGCTTCGCTCTCGCTAAAACTACAAAAAACTCTAAAAAGGTAGGTTTCATACAAATTTTTATCCCCTTTTTTACCCCCTTATGTTATGTATTTCGAAAAATGCTAATACACGTTTTATTCAAATATATTGAAAAGTTATAATATCAAGTTTCAAGTAATTCTGATCATATTTTTTTTGGTTTTAATTATAACGTGGGATTGAGATAATCTCAAAATAAAAAGTAGTTATATAGCCTATGTAACTCTCCAGACCTCCAACTATCTCCACATAAAAAAGCTCGCCAATCCGTCACTCTATTTCGATTCTCGTGATGCATTCCTACACAGGCAGACTAAAATTCTAAAAACAATAGATTTGGCTTCTTTACCAATAATAAATGACTATTTCAATAGGATTTTCCAAAAAATATTTAATGTACAGATTCGACTTACCGTTAAATTTATTATATGCATAGATTAACATGTTAAACTATTATATTTATTAACGTAGTACACACCGAGTAGGTACTGCAATAAAATATAACCATGAACTCACAAGTTCGTAATAAAATCCCTTATAGCTTTCGAATGCAGAATATCTGAGATGGCAGAAACACAAGTAATAATTTGTTGATGCAAAACAGTGCAGTATTTGAACACTTGTTTACCTGAGGTTGGTCAGCATAAGCTTTCTAAGCCGCTATAAGATTACACAGGGTTTACAATGTTAAGATGATATTTTCGACTTTAATCATTTCGAGTTATTTCGAACATTTTCAATATTATACTATGGTATTCAAATTTATTTTGGATAAATCAACGAGATCTTTGACCCGTCCCAAATGTGTAATACGTATGTTTAGGCTAAAAGTATGATTAAAAAGACAATGTCATCATAAAATGGGAAACCAACGATCCAAATCAGAAAATAAATTGCTGATTGTCCATTATACACGAATATAATCGTGAAGTTCCTAATATATCGAATGCGTCGGCACAATAAGGTAACGACGCATTCATTGCCAAAAATAATTTGTCAATGGAGATGATGTCTGATCGTCTGGGTACTTTTTTAACGAATGGCGCAACTGGTTTTGAATGCTTCTAATTACAATGCAGCTTGCAGCTGGAGCGCACAAATCGTGATCAATTCTGATGCTTAACAACAAAATTACCATTGTAAAAACAATTTGAACTTATAATGATTTAAATTGGCCAGTAATTTGATAATTTTGGTCTAATTTCGTTGGAAGATATTCTTTATAATATGTTTCCTAATTCCTTCAACAATGGGTTCGGCGAAATTTATAATACTGTTGCTTACAAGTTAATTACATGCATGCTCAAAAGTTATTGTTCGATTATGCATTTAAATTAATTGTTTAAACTTTTTTTAAATTAATAATCTTTTCTTCCTATTCTATATTAAAAATATTGCGTGCCGATCGCGGCCCTGCGACCTGCGCAGTAAACGGTCGGTTAAATACTACATATAAATGTATATTAACAATGCCCGCGGCTCCGCCCGCGTTCAGATGACCAAAAACCAAATTATTAGATTTTACATATTAGTATACTCTTACAATGCAGTTTTTGTATTTTTTTCGGAAATAATATATTTTCCCGCGGTAATAAGTATCCTATATGTTAACCCGGATAGCTAGCTACAACCATACTAAATTTCATCAAAATCCCTCCAGTGGTTTTTCCGTGATGCGGTAACAGACAGACAGACAGACAGACAAAAATTCTAAAAACTATAGATTCGGCCTCTGTATCGATAATAATGTTCATTTCAATAAGATTTTCCAAAAAATATTTAATGTACAGATTCGGCTTAGTTACAATTTTATTATATGTATTGATAACACTATGCTACTATGGTCTGTTATCCGCAGAAAACAAAACTTATGAAATGGAAATTTTTGTGTTAATAATATTGCATTAGTGAAATTTTAACAAAACAAAAAATAGTAATTTGATGTGTTTACATCGGATAGGATCATTTATTATACAAGTACGCTAACTATTCGCTTAAACAGCAACATGCATCATGTCATTGCATTTGCAACATTTTTTAAAGTAGCATTTTTTGTCCTGTTTTATAATGGATATAAAATTGGTCCTTAATATTTTATGATTATTTTAGTACGTTCATAAGTTTAATTATTGTGTTATTTTTTACCTGAACCTCATCTTCAACTTTTGACAAAGAATAATGGTAGCGTAAGCGACAAAAGATTTTTGAAGAAGTGTTGGCGAATAAATAAAAGGTTTTAATAAATCTTTCGTACTAGCTGACTTAATCCGATTTACTTGTATTATCTCACGTACTCATGTTGATATTAACATATTAATAACTATACTAGCGACTCACTTTCGCTTCGTTCGGGCTCGTCCCTAGGTATGTTTTAACGGTTAGTATGAGTTAGATAGACTACTTATTATATATGTATATACATAGATATGATGAGTTGTTGTGGGTTGTATTATAACGTGTTTTCCCGTGGGAATTATATCATCTCCCGAGGTGAAAAATCGCCTATGTCACTCTCCAGCTCTCCAACTATCTGCACACAAAAAATCACGCCAATCTGTCACTCTGTTTCGACGTGAAAGAAGGACAAACAAACACACTTTCAAATTTATAATATTAAGTATGGATATGGATATCTCACTGATCACTCCTGCCTCGTATTTATGTAATATTTAGCAGCATTTAAAAGTTATACAGTCACGCATTCTGACTAACGAAGTACCTATATAGGGTCTTTGCTGTATCATGCTAAGATATAAAATTATTCAGTTTATATCTCGGTAAGATGTAAGACCTCATGGCTCATTTCAGATTATATCTTCGTACAATCTAATAACATTTAAACGATTAAATTATTTTTTTGTCACGACGTCGTGAGAGAAGAAATGGTAGGTGGTATTAAAGTTTTCTTATCGTTGGCACCAACATTCCTAGATATAATCCGATCATTTATAGCTTTAGCTAGTTTTTATTTTATAGAATTATTAGTTTATTTTATTTTCACCAATTAATTGGAAAATAGCAAGCTAGTAGTGTGAATGTGATTTTTGACGCTAGGCGTCGTTAAATAATTGTTCAATTTTACCTCCTGTCAATGTTGACACTATTGGTATATGGACTTTCTCTTATACAATTCCTAATGGCTGTGTTATTTTCAAATACATTTACAGCATTAGAGAACAATAAGCAAGCTATTAACTTCGGAAAGTGTGTAGGTGTGCTTGTTGTGTCTCGTGTACTTAAGTTTACAATACATCACGCATACCACAAAGAGTTTTAGATGACGTTAAAGGTTTTATTCATTTTGAAAAATCAGAAACCTTTGTGGTAAAAGCTGGGTTAAAGAAATTATAAAATGCTTATATAGGTCTATAAAGTTCATTACATATAATTTCTATGCGTGAGTACTTTGATATTAACCACCGTAATGGTGTAGTTGTACTACTATTATAAAAGCTTTTTATAAAATGTAGTACACATGCATTTATATGTACCTCAGTATTAGCACGCACATAGGCTACTGTTTGGCATCCAGGGATCCATCCGAGCGTAGCGCAGGTATGTCGTTTGTCTATACTAATAAATGGAGAGTCGATTTTTTTGTTCGGTTATACTGCGATAACTACTGAACCGATCGGAATAATACTATAAGATATATATAATAAGATGCAGCGTGTTTCGGAGAAGGTTTTAGTATATAACATGTTGGTGATTAATATACTATGTGGGCGGAGCCGCAGGAAAACGCTAGTAGTTTATAAGCAAAGCTGACACCTAGCTATGATATGTCATAAAGGAATTCTGTTTTATCTTATAGGCATACATACCCTTACGCTATACAAGATTAGTAGGTATATATGAAAGGCTTACTTTAACAACATGTCTCACAGCACGTGTTACATCAGGCAATTCTCAGTCTTAACAAAATATAATTGTTACTTTCCAATGAATATTTATTAAGGTTACGCTTAAGTGTACTTGTCATGATTTTAATGTCGAGTTTTATATTTAAGAGCAGAGGCAGTGCTGAGAAGAACATATAGATTATAAGGATATAATATTGACACCACGTTGACACTGATTCAGTTAAAATATTGGCCTTATAATTAGTGATTTTTTGGTGCGCAAAAATTAAAAAATGGCCACCCTTGTAGAGCATAATTTTTTTAAGTTAAGCCTCAATGTTCAGTAAATT